ATTTTAGGTTGTCATTATCTTAGCTTGTCCTCATCATTTCAGCTTGTCATAATTTCAATTTGTCGTCACTTTGGCTCTTCATCATTTTAGCTTGTCCTCATTTTAATTTGTCTTCATTTTAGCTTTTCATTAATTTAAATTGTCGTCATTTTAGCTTGTCATCATTTTAATTCGTATTTTTTTGCTTAGCCTCATTTTAAACTGTCATAATTTTAAAATGCCTTTATTTTAGCTAGACCTCATTTTAAATTGTCGTCATATTGTTGTTATTTTATTTTAGCTTGTCCTTATTTTAACTTAGCCTCATTTTAAATTGACTTTATTTTAGCTTGTTCTCATTTTAAATTGTATTTTTTGGATCTTCATTACCTTAGATTTTCATCATTTAAGCTTGTTCTTATATAATAAATAATAAGCTATAGCTTAGCCTCATTTTAAACTGTCATAATTTTAAAATGTCTTTATTTTAGCTAGACCTCATTTTAAATTGTCGTTATATTGTTGTTATTTTATTTTAGCTTGTCCTTATTTTAGCTTAGCCTTATTTTAAATTGACTTTATTTTAGCTTGTTCTAATTTTAAATTGTTGTCATTTTAGCTTGTCATCAGTTTAATTGTCGTCGTTTAGCTTGTTATCATTTTAGCTTAGCCTCATTTTAAACTGACATAATTTCATTATTTTACCTTGTCCTTATTTTAAAGTGTCTTCATTTTAGCCTGACATCAGTTTAAATTGTCGTCATTTTAGCTTGTCATCATTTTAATTTGTATTTTTTGGCTCTTCATCATCTTAGATTTTCATCATTTTAGCTTGTCCTTATATTATGAATAATAAGATATAGCTTAGCCTCATTTTAAACTGTCATAATTTTAAAATTTCTTCATTTTAAATTGTCGTCATATTGTTGTTATTTTAGCTTGTTCTTATGTTTAATTGTCGTCATTTTAGCTTGTCAAAATTTTAACTTTAAACTTGTCCTTATAATATCTTGTGCTCATTTTAAATTGTTTTTATTTTAGGTTGTCATTATCTTAGCTTGTCATCATCAAACTGTCATAATTTTAAAATGTCTTTATTTTAGCCAGACCTCATTTTAAATTGTCGTCATATTGTTGTTATTTTAGCTTAGCCTCCTTTTAAATTGTCATCATTTTAGCTTGCCTTATTTTTGCTTAGCCTCATTTTAAACTGACATAATTTAAAAATGTCCTTTATTTTAGCTAGTCCTCATTTTAAATTGTCGTCGTATTGTTGTTATTTTAGCTTGTCCTTATGTTTAATTGTCGTCATTTTAGCTTGGCCTCATTTTAAACTGTCTTTATTTTAGCTTGTTCTTATTTTAAATTGTCATCATTTTAGCTTGCCTTATTTTTGCTTAGCCTCATTTTAAACTGCCATAATTTAAAAATGTCCTTTATTTTAGCTAGTCCTCATTTTAAATTGGCGTCATTTTAGCTTGTAAACATTTTAACTTTAAACTTGTCCTTATAATATCTAGTCCTGATTTTACATTTTTTTTATTTTAGCTTGTCATCATCTTAGCTTGTCATCATTTTAAAAACTGAAATAGAGACAAACCAAAAGGGGGAACATCCCGTTTTAACAGTTTTAATAATGTTTACAAAAAAAAAACAGCCAAATAACTGCATACATTTCTTTGACCACATTTTGCCACAATAAGCAATTTCGTAACTAAACACTCAATTAAAATTGACCCAGTAATTCTTCAGCTGCAGTAAATTATTCCTCAAAGTATTGTAGTTTCGAATGTTATCAATGTAATACGGGGTTATGTGGCGAAATTGCGGTATTTTAAGCGCGGCAAACAGTGGGTGTTTATGCATAAAGGACTTCCTTAGCTGAAAGCGATAACGTTCCTAATAAAATAAGTACAAAACAATAAAATTATTACCTTTGACTATAACTATGTGCTATGCTATCTATGATGGTAGCACAAAAACAGTAGGTACTTTATTTTTAAAATATTTTTTGTCTTTGTTTCAAAATATATACAACAAAAAGTTAAAATTTTATTTTAAAACATTTTGTTTTTTTAAATTAAAAAAATTAAATTAGTAATTTACGCTTCAAAATTTCGCTAGTACAATTTTAGCCGATGACTTAAGTCGAAGTTAATTTAGACAAAGAATCTGGTGACCTAAAATGTCCAATTATCCGCCATTGCTTTTAATTAATTATTTTAAATTTCGCATGGTTGCCAGATTCGCGAAAAATCGGTAATTACACATTACATTGAACGTTGGTTGTGCAAGATTTTAAATTAACTTTTTTTAACATATTGGTATTTACACCTTGTAACACATCAGACCTTATATTCTCACGATTATTTTTTCAAACGTTTGTTTTCTATAATTATTTATTGTTTTTCGTAATTACAATGTACAAGATGGCTGAAATTTCATTTGTTAATGAAACACCAATAAATTATTTTGTCGTCCTGACCTTTATTGAAACAAACGATCTTTAGTTGAAGAGAAATTAGTTTTGTTATTTTTAACAATATGTTTTGCTAATTGTAGATTTTAAAAATTAAATTAGGAGAAATGGAGGTGTATTACAATTTTTTGAATAATTAGGAACACAATTTCCGTGATTTAAATAAATCTGAACCTATTAAAGTATCCCATTTATAAAAACTTACCAAAAAGACTGGTGTTTATGCTGATTAGTTTTAATATTTTAAATTATTTTTTACACGCTTAGACACTAAACATACAAAAATTAGATTTTATTTAAACACAAATTGCACACAAAAATAAACCAAATAAAAAATTAACAAATTTTCTGGTGCAAAAGACAATTTCCCATGGTCTTACTAGTTTTATAATGGTCATATAAGGTTACTGTAAACTCTAGGTATATAAGTTAACACTAACCTAAGCAGTTGTATAACATCACTTATAGTAACGACGGTACCACAATGTATATATAAGTTTTAAAATTATATAATAACACTTTAAGTAACTTAGATAGTCCTATAAAACCGAACTAGCACCTTAGGTTATATAAAATTATCATGAGCAATATAAGAGGGCTCAAGGTTGATACATTATTTCCGACATGATTGTTTTTTACATAAAATAAATGTTAATCGAATTGTATTACAAAAACAACTTAATTGACCAAACCAAGGTAAAAAATTCACTACTTTAGTGCAAGCAAGTGAAAGATATTAATTGATTTCTTATATTTTTTAATTGTATTTTATTAGTATATGAAGAAATATATATTTTAGATGTTCCTGAGGGATAGAGAAATATTAAAAGAAAAGCAGTTTTTTAGGAAGTTATACAGTGGTTTCCATAATATTCCTGTTATCTCTAGTTATAAAACTTGGGTTTTATAATGTTATAACCTTCATAAACTCCCCAAATGCGCTCTATAAGGGGTATATAAGAAATGTAGGTTTTATAATTTGGATGATATAACATTTATGGAAACTACTATAAAAACAAAAATGTTTATTGGGGTTACCACGGGACATTTTTAATACGTTAAATTAGAGACCAATATAAAACAACGCCACAAGATTAACTGATTTGACACATTTTTTATTTAAATCATAGCCACTTTAATGACAATAAATTAAAAACGCTAGTCGTCCGAACTTTAAGTTGCCAATATATTTTGCTATTTTTTTTAAATTTTTATTTAAATATTTTAAATGTTACATCTAAGCGTGTTAAAATACTTTTTTCTACTCTCACACTAAGTGACCTTTTAAATACACATTGACAAGTTGTGGCTTTATGGCGCTTTAGTCACGGGCTGAAGTTAGCAACAGGTTTTTAGTCACGGGCTGAAGTTAGTTTTAAGTTAGTTGACAGTTGTCAAATGTCATACAATCGTTAAAATAAAGTGCCTTTCTTGTAAAATAATACTAAATGTGAAAATTATTTTATTATATCAATACAAAAATACAAAAGTATTAAATAGTTTCTCAACGCCAATATTTGAAAAGTTTATATGAACATTGTACTGACCTTTTAATTTCGCCCACAGTAAACTATAACTTAAGTTAGGGCACGGACTCAACTGTAAAGTGCTCATAAAACATGTGAAAAACTGTAAATTTTCAAGAAATACATTTCGATTTATAACCTTTATAATTGTATTTATAAAATACAAAAATTTGACATTTGACTGTGACACACAAATTTCCCAATTGTTTCATAGATGGCGCTCTATACAAATTTTTGATTTAAATCATTTTAAGATAATAATAAGTATTTGTCGTAGAAAAAGTATAGTATGCAATTTAAATTAAATTCGTGTATAAAATGGCGTTTATCAAACTTGATACATAATATACCTACTATTATATTTATATTATCCAATATTTTAAATAAAACATTCTATTTTAAGTAAAATTTTTTGAATTAATATTTTTAATAATTTGATTAATATTACGATAATATTATTTTAATAATCCGTGATTTTTTTTTAAACAACTCATTTATTGGTTAATTTGACCATTTTTTTCTTTCAGTGTATTTATTGTTTTAGTTTAATTCGGAACCTTAAAAAGACTTCTAATATTTTTTAAGAAAATTGCCACTCGAATGAATTAGGAAGTTGTATAATACACTAATTTTAAAGAAGACGAAGCAGGGAAAGAAGAAGGCTGAGAATCAGTAGCGTCGAAGAGGGGGGTCCAAAAGTGCTAATAAAAAAGCAAACAATTCGAGTTTAACCTAGGACTGGGGGGGACACAAGGACGCAAAGAAGACGAAAAATGGAAAACCGACGTCGGCCGTCGACGAAAAGCGCGAACGGGTCATCGGATGAAGGAGAGGGTTGGAGCGAGACGAATAATCGGGGGGAAACGCAAGGAGAAAAAAAAAAGAGAAGAAAGATAATAGGGATGCACGGTGCCGGTCTAGTTGAGAAGGGGGGAAAGGGAAATGCAAGTGCATACAACCGCCGAGTGGGGTCGCACTTGTTGCATCACTGTATGACGTTGCAAGGCAGTAGTGTTACAGCAAGCGAGCCATTCATGCACTCTGCCACGCAAAAATTACCTACCGCGCGAACATGTAACAACTAACCCACGAGAGAGCCGGGTACAACACCTTCAATTATTGTTTTTACCGAGAAAATGATAAACTTTAGAGTGCCGTTTCGTTTTTCACTAGGAGTAGTATGATAGACTGGACTATATTTTGTATTAGTGTTTTCTTTTGAGTTGAGATAACTAGTGTTGGTCAGTGACAGAGTTTTATTTGTCGCTTGGTGTGGTGCTTTGGTTTTCTCCCAGTGTAATGAATGATTTGAAGCGATGGGAAATAATATTAATAACAGTGTAGCAAACTTAAAAAATGGCGGAGTGCTCCTATTCGCGATGTGTCCAGCAACGAAGGAATATTAGAAGAGAATTGCAAAAATGGACAAGAAACATGGTACATATTGTCGGTGAGTTTATTTCGCTATAATCGATTTTCCTCGCTAGCGCGCCGTCCTCTAACCTGTTGAGTGTCGCCACCTTATTATTTCCCCAAAACCCAAACAACATCTCCTTCGAAAAATTCTGGACCGCTCCTTTAATGATTTTCGTCGAGATGCATTTTTTTACCATGCGTCGTAGCGTCGAATTTTTCTGACGCGCCGCCACCGTCTTCTGTCTATTAAAAATCCATGTCGCTCCGCAAGACCACCCCAACTATATTTTTAACAGTGATAGTGCCACCCAAGGTTACTTATTTTTCGCTACCAATCATTTTAATAACTACTCACCGTAAAATTTTTTGAATTGTGCAACAAATTTCCCAATATTTCAACCACCCACCATAAATACACCCAATATCCTAACCCACATACAAAAGTGCTCTTTATATATATTTATATATTTATTATAAGATGTCATATTCCTGCCAAAAGTCACTAACTGACGTTTTGAAAAATGATAACAAATTGTACTTAACTATACAAATTTACCATACTTATATTTAATATTTAAAAGCCACTAGATGCCTAGAATAATAAAAAATGGTCGTTTTTGCATGGTTAAAAATCACTATAGTTTATAAACTGATGTAATTTGCTTATTTATTTTATTTATTTTATTTTAGTGACTTTTGGCAGGGATATGACGATATATTTAATAAGTATTTTAACAAGGCATTTCTTTTAGACTTTTTCATAGGGGACTGGACTATAGTCTGAATAGTCGAGCGTGACTGGGCGGGGCCTATTTTAGGTTAAAAACTAATAAATTATGACAGTCGCGTGGAGGGGGGGGCCCGACAAATTCTAAGGACACACCTATTTAGCAAAAAGAGGCGTAGCCACGATTTTTTTTCCTTACTTTAATTCCGAAGAAATTTGTTAATCGGAAATTTTAAATTCAAATATGGTTGAAAATTTTCACCGCATCCGATTTTATTGGCCACAATTAAAATGTGTCAGTGTGTGTAAAGTTGGTAGTTGTGTGTGGATTTGTTAAAAATTAAACTTTCAATCAAAAGATATCGGTCAGTTAAATTGTTAATATTAAATTAATATTATATTAATACATTGAAAAAGTTTTACAGTAAAATTATAAAAAAAAATATTAAAAAACTAAATGTAATCACACAAAACCCAAATTTTTACCATTTAAAAATGCAATGAAACAAAATATAAATAAATTTGTTGAATTTTAACAAATTATAGGAAATTATATTACCCAAGTAAATTAAGCAAAATACAAATTCCGACAAAACCAAAATTTTAACTACCTATGTACGTATAGGTACATATACAGGGTGTCCCAAAAGTCAACGATATCCTTTGAAGGACTAATCAGAATATCAAAAGATGACCTTAGTAAAAAATCATTAGTTTTTAAGATATTGGCATTTTTATGAATTTTGTGAAACTTGACACATAAAATCAGTTTTTCGAGTGCCACAACTACAATATTATATATTCTTACTCTCTAAAAATGAATTAGTCAAAAATGACTAATTTGATAGTTATACATATATATAAGTGGCTGCTTTTTCACTTGTACCATGGTTAACCATGGAATACCATGGTATCCAAAAATTTAACATCCAATTCTTATGTAAAATTGTCCCCTAAATCCGAAAATACCGTCAAAAATTATGAAAGTGGAGCAGTTTTTGAAATATAGTCAATTCCATATTACATGAAAAATTGACAATATCTCAAAAACTGTTTCACTTTGATTCAGGGAACAATTTTACATAATAATTAGCTGTTAAATTTTTGAATACCATGGTATTCCATGGTTAACCAGAGTACAAGTGAAAAAGCAGCCACTAATAACTATTAAATTAGTCATTTTTGACTAATTCATTTTTAGAGAGTAGATTATATTTTATTTTGGGTAACCCTGAATAGGACTGCTATTAATTACAATTCAAAATTAAATTAATAGTAGATTTTGTAGCTGTGGCACTCAAAAAACTGATCTAAGGTGTCAAGTTTTACAAAATTCATAAAAATGACTATATCTAAAAATCTAACGATTTTTTACTAAGGTCGTATTTTGATTTTCTGCTTAGTTATGAATTTGTATATCCAAAGGATATCGTTGACTTTTGAGACATCCTGTATAAATATTAGAAAGAAATAAAATTTAAAAAAATTACTGTAAAAATAAAAATATTCTTGTAGACAAAAAAGCACCTAAAATTATAATTTGTTTTGATTTTAGGTTACTTGGTTAGTTTTTACGCGTTTTGTTAATAAAAAAATTTAATCATTCTAAAAAACTGCATTTTGTTGTTTTATAATAATTTTAAAAACAGAAAATATAACTCATTATAATTAAAATAAAATGGAAACAAAACTATATTATTATCATAAAACATTTATTTTTGTTGTTATTTGTTTATTTTATTTTATCAAACTTTCGATGTGTAATTTTGACCATTTCCGCAAAAATTCCACCGCTCGATATCATTTTCGATAATTGTCCAAGATGGCCGCCCTGTTAAAAGCACGCTAGATTTAATTGACTTTTATATGTACGACGATGACTAAATTTATAAAACCCCACTGACGCAATACGAAAATTCGTGCTAATAAAACTCGTTTGATTTGAATAGGTTTTATTTATAAAGAAATATGTACCAACAATAATTATTTAAATTATTGTTGGGCATTTTGTATTTTAAAACTGAGTAATTGCTTTTTATAAACTGTATAAATTTATGACAATTACAAAAAAAAATAATTTGAAAACAAAAACCCAAATAAAAAATATTATTGTTTAATTAAAATCGTGGAATATTTTAACGCTTTTTGTTAGAAATAATATGGCGGATAATTTCAATTTATACCTACAATGTATATATAAATGTACAGTGGGTGCGTTAATTTTTTTATTTTAATAAATAGTTTTGTAGTTGTAGTACAGTTTATCTGAAGGTTATCTTTGAGAGAAAAAGTTGACAGTACAAGAAACTGAAAGCGATTTTACGTATCTGACATTTAGAATTTGCTTTAAATCGTGATTCGTTCCCAACACAAATATAGGAGTGAAAAAAAAACTATACATTTTTAGCTTTTATACATAACCTTACATTTGAATTGTTTTATTTTAATGTTATTTTTTTATTAACATTTAACAAATACTATTTAATATTGTTGGATAATTACACAAAGGAATTTTTAAATTAAAATAATAATAAACTTTAACTGTTTTTTTCTACTAAATATGTTGGCAAATATGTTGCAAAATTTAGCACTTTGTGCATGCTTAAAACTCAGTTTTTATACATTTTCCATATATGGAAAATTAAACAATACTTTTTAGTCCATATGTGTGAGATCTGGACCTCTTGGTGGCTGAAAACCTTGGTTTTTGTTTTTCTTTACATTTTAAGATAAATACTTATATTAATATGTTAAATAGGAAACATTTTTAGATATTTGGTTGACTTAAAAATAAACGCAATAAAATATCCTGATAAAACTAATATAAAATGTATGCATGCATTGGTTAGGTATACATAGAAAATTTATTCGTTAGAAAAACAATTTGCTTAAAAAACAAATTAATTTTGCTTAAAAATCCTTACATGTTATCGTCATGAAATGTTTGTTATTTTTTTGCGTATTATGCATTAAAAAAAATGCATTTATTTTTTTAAAACCGGTCTTTCCTATATTCGTAATAATTTTGTTTACTAGCCAACTCGAAATTTGACCTTGATGGTGAAAAAAATAGTTTAATGTTTTACGTTCTATATTGAACTTTGCTTATGTCGGAAAATTTATGTAAAAATGCACAAATATTGATTTTTTTAATTTATACAAAAACAACATACATATACATATACATATAAATAGTTATATATAATGTAATAAAATGGTAGCTTTTATAATCCAATTAAATCAAACCTAATACCAAAAAAGTTATAGGATATTTTTGATTGACGCCAAATTTTAACGAAAAAAATTAACCACGAACGTAAAACACCCTGTATATACCCTATTTCCAAGTTTTTGACGTAAAATTTTGTTATGAGAAGCACAGTGGGAAAATGCAAATAAAAAAACTAATATTAATAATATTTTTTTGTTTTAAACATTGTCAATTAGCATTTAAACAACTGCGATAGGCCTGATAACAACTAAAAATACATTGAAAATTAATACGGCTTTCCACTAATTGATAACAAAACAATTTGTTATAAATGCCGGCAAATTTTTGTTTTTGTGTAGTATTTGCAAAATAAAGAATATCTTTGTCTACGTATACACACTATCTTCTATGTATTTTTATCTGAAGTATTTTAAAAACGGTTTTCATTGGTTGCGCGGGTAGATAGGTAAAATATTTTCGAAAAAAAAAATGGTTCCGCACCACCATATTATAATATTATACGGGGTCCTTTATCACAGCACATTTTTGAGTTGATAAATGTAATAGAAAGCTTAGGTATAATATATTAAAACCCTTTCAGATTGTCACGGTGTGAATAATTTTGATAAAAATAGAAAGGTTTGACCTAAATTTTAAAAAATATTTTGCGATTTTTTTCGCAAATTTAGGACATAACAATGTATATTTAGTTCGCTTCATAACTAAACTCTATTTTTAAGTAAAATAAATTAATAATTTGATGATGACACAACCTGTCAAGAACATTATCCAGACAGATATTTCATAAAAAATACTTAATTTCTCTTGTAATCATTTAATTAAATTAAAACCATTCAAACCAACATGCCTTCGTAATAATTGGATTTTTTTCTTACTCTTTTTCATGATCGAGTTTGTAATTTATTAAAGTTAAAAAAAATCAGTTTTTACCTTTAAAAAATCTGAAAATGGTTATGTATGTCGAAAGACTGAGAAGTATTTTTTTGTACTGAGCTCAAAGTTGACGTGTTGCGGAGGCCTACTTTATATTTGTTTCTACAAACATTTTATATAACCTTTAGTAACCGTTACCAGT